AGGGGGAAGAGTTACAGTAACAGGGGGAAGAGTTACAGTAACAGGGGGAAGAGTTACAGTAATAAGGGGAGGAGTTACAGTAACGGGGGGAAGAGTTACAGTAACAGGGGAAGAGTTACAGTTACAGGGGGAAGAGTTACAGTAACAGGGGGAAAGTTAAACTAACAGGGGAAAGAGTTACAGTAACAGGAGAAGAGTTACAGTAACAGGGGAAGAGTTACAGTAACAGGGGGAAGAGTTACAGTAACAGGGGAAGAGTTACAGTTACAAGGGGAAGAGTTACAGTAACAGGGGGAAAGTTACAGTAACAGGGGGAAGAGTTACAGTAACAGGGGAGAAGTATTACAGTTACAGTAACAGATGGAAGAGTTACAGTTACAGTAACAGGGGAGAAGTGTTACAGTTACAGTAACAGAGAGGAAATGTTACAGTTACAGTAACAAATGGAAGAGTTACAGTTACAGTAACAGGGGAGAAGTGTTACAGTTACAGTAACAGAAGAGTTACAGTTACAGTAACAGGGGAGAAGAGTTACAGTTACAGTAACAGGGTGGGAAGAGTTGCAGTTACAGTAACAGGGGGGAAGAGTTACAGTTACAGTAACAGGGGGAAGAGTTACAGTTACAGTAACAGGGGGAAGAGTTACAGTTACAGTAACAGGGGAAGACTTACAGTTACAGTAACAGGGGGAAGAGTTACAGTTATAATAACAGGGGGAAGAGTTACAGTTATAGTAACAGGGGAGAAATGCTACAGTTAAAGAGAACAATTTTAGAGATGGAAGAATATGGCGATAACCGAATGAAGTTTTGTTAAGGATAAAACTACTGTTATGGAAAATAATATTTAATGTCGGAGGTTTGCAAAAAAGTTCTCATTTTACTTTTGTATCGAAAATGCGATAAATTTCATCGAAAATTGTACGAAGTTAACTATGGGATAAACGTTATATACGATTGATTAGGACATCATATAATGGGGTGGACAAAATAAAGGAAACACCTAACATTTTGATATCGTTATTTTTGAACTTATTACAGACAATGGAAACGTGACATATATTTTATGATTTATTGTTTATTATGGCTGTTAATTTATATTTTATCATTGCATAGATATTTTTAATAACTTAGCATTTTTTTAATTTAACTTATAACCTATAAATGACAAACCTCTCAGACTTTCAAAGAGGCCAAATTGTTAGTGCCCGGATGATATCTGTAGGTGCTAGTGTGGCCAAATATTCCCGAATTATTGCCGTTTCTAGAGGTAGTACTGTCCTAAAAATGTCTTTTTTTGAAAAGGAATGTAAAAAGTCCTCAGCAAAGCACAGGTCTGGCTGAAAGTCGAAGTTGTCTGAGAGAGGCCGTCGGTACCTAAATGAACTTGTGAGGGACTATATATCGAAAGACCAGGGCTGTTAAAATTACTGCAAACCTAAATGGACACATACAGAACCCAGTTTCCATAAACACTATCGGCCGAGAACTGCATAGATCAGGATACTATGGAAGAGCTGCAATCAGAAAACCTCCGGTTTCAAATACAAATGTTTCAGGTGATTTTCTCTGACGAATATTCGTTTCTCTTATTTCCAAACTCTGGCCGAGTTTACGTTTGGAGACAGACAAATGAGTCATTTAATCCCGCCTGCTTCCTCTCAACCGTAAAACATGGCGGCGGATCTGTGATGATCTGGGGTGTTATTTTTTGGAAATCTGGCGGACCACTGATTTCTGCTCATGGAAGAATCTACAGCTGTGATTATTTGAGAATTTCGTAGGACCAAATTGATCCAATGGTTCAATCACTGTTTCCGGTGGGAAACGCCTTTTTTCAAGATGATAATGCCCTGGATCCATACAGTTGAATTGTTAAAAAATGACACGGTTATTTGACCACCACAATCACCAAACCTAAATATTATCGAGCATTTATGGTCGATTTTACAGATGCAAGTCAAAAGTCGATTCCCGCCGCAATCGTCTTTAAAAGAGCTGGATGGAGTTTTAACTGAAGAATGGGTTAAAATTTCTTTGGAAACAATTCAAACAGTTTGTATGAATACAATACCTTGGTTAATTGAGGTTGGCATTGCCACACAAGATGGACCTACTCCACACTAAAATATATTTTGTGAATTTCTAAGGAGTTTCCCTTATTTTGTGTAACCCCTGTAGCCTGTGTGTCATGTTATGTGTGTGACACACGCACATGTCATATGTGCGTGTGTCACTTATGACCTTATGATGAGTTTAGGACTTCTTAGTCCATGGTCATGCTAATGCGCCGCCTTCGTCGTCCTCCGTCTCCGAGTCGTCGTCGGATGTAACGTTGGACGTGTTCCATCTATTTGCCCTCCTTTGGGCCACCTGATGCAAGATGCTGTTGCTTGTCACTTGCTAAGGGTAGTTTCCCATTACTGGACAATCCGGGATCTTTCTCAACCACTTGTCCAGTCGTCTCTTGAATGTTGCAAGGGTGAACTCCCCTCCTCTCAGCGCTTTTGGCAGGGCATTACAGAACCTCGGTCCTAGAAAGGACAGTGATCCCTCACGAAGAGTTGTATTAGTATTATTGTGCACATGTATTTGTGCTATTGTGTCGTAGTATTCGTATTATTGTGTCGTAGTACATGTATTTTTGTTTTTGTTGTTTTTGTATTACTGTACAGTTGTATTTGTATTATTGTGCAGTTATATTTTTATTATCGTGCACTTGTTTTTTGTATTATTGTACAGTTATATTTGTATTATTGTGCAGCTTTATTTGCATTATTGCGTAGTTGTATCAACTGTATTATTGCGCAGTTGTATCAATTGTATTTTTACCCAGATTTTACGCGCTGAGAAAGGCATGACGAACTTCGGCTGGGCCATAGCCTCCGGGTCCGGCAATTTGGCAGTGTCCGCATATGGGCAGAGCGTGGCCGTTTTCAAGTGAGTGCAATTAAAATTTATTATTATGTCTAATTATGTTACATATAAATTATTTTAAATGTTATAAAAAAAATATTTTCACATTACTTAATAAGTAATTATTTTATTAATTAGAAAATATTGATTAACCATACTTTCAGAGACAGAAGGATCTTGCATTTGAATACTCGTATTTTCTCTAAGAAGTTTCTTAACATTTGAGAGGAGACGAAATCGAAGGTGAGACAAACGGAACGAGAAGCAAAAATAGATTCGTGTCGCGTGTACTGGGCTTTCAAAGACATTTTTTCTGATTGGTAATAAATTATTTATCATGTTTCTTATCAGCATTAATTTTTTGAAATTTTTAGTCCTGATTAAATTCGATTGCCTGCAGTAATATGATATTAATGATTTAATATATTATATGATGCTATACAAATGCCCGGCGCTTTCACATGGGTAAAAACGACGAGGTAGTTTTTACGAAGTAGTCAAATATTAGAAGTAATTTGAAACGAAGTAGTGATATTAATTTTAATTCTTAAAAGAATCACTCAATTAATTACTGATTCAAATAACCGGCACTCAAAGAAATGCTTGGGTTATATTGCCCAAATGGTGACGCACTCTGTGCGTATAGCATTACAACGCCCCTTTTACCTGGCTAAACTGTGCCCCCACACAAGGATGATATTTGCACAAAATATCCTCTTTTTCCTTAAGGTTTACCTGCGAAATCATTTTCCTTATTGTTTACCTGCGATATTATTTTCCTTTTTGTCTACCTGCGATATCATTTTCCTTATTGTTTACCTGCGATATTATTTTCCTTATTGTTTACCTGCGATATCATTTTCCTTATTGTTTACCTGCGATATTATTTTTCTTTTTGTCTACCTGCGATATCATTNTGAGAAATGACCTGAGAGTCTGGGAATCTTGCAGGGCATGAAATGCTTGCTGGCAGCAAGCAAAATCATGCCCTGATAGTCTTTGATTCGAAAATCTGAAATTTGGAATTCGATGTCAGACTGGCATAGATTCCTTGCTGGGGCCAAGGAAATCATGCCGTCTGGGAAAGTGATCTCGAAATCTTGGTATGTGACCGTGTCGATTTCCTGTCTCTTATACACATCTAGATGTGTATAAGAGACAGAACCAGGGATAATGATCTATTTATATGTATTTGGGAGTGCCGAGAGCAAGGTTGTGATGTATATAGGATGATATGCCCAGGTCCCGGTCGTGATGAATATAGGATGATATGCCCAGGTCCCGGTTGTGATGAATATAGGATGACATGCCCAGGTCCCGATCGTGATGAATATATAGGATGATATGCCCAGGTCCCGGTCGTGATGAATATAGGATGATATGCCCACGTCCCGGTCGTGATGAATATAGGATGATATGCCTAGGTCCCGGTCGTGATGAATATAGGATGATATGCCCAGGCCCCTGTCGTGCCCGACTACCGTCAGGAGTTGAGGTCCACGGCGACTCTGGTCCACGACCTGAAGTGCGACGGCAGCACTTGCTTCACCAAAGCCACGCTTGACATACGGGGTCCCAGGTCAGTTTTTCTATAATTGCAGCTGAAACCAAAGAATAAATCATAAAAGTTTTCATCAATACTTTTTCGCTGCTAGGCGGGGAATTTTTTGCTTGATTAAAGTTTCATGAACCACTAAGAGCTCAATAGTCTTGTCCTCCTAATCTTTTTGATTATTGTTAAGCTTTGTTAAAATTAAATAAGTAAAAGTTTATTTACCTGGAAACTATCATTACTATATGTCTTAATGGCTTCATTCATTTTTGAAGCGAAAGAACGCTTTATCTTTGTATTTATTTATCGTCTTTCTGTTACTAAATTGCATTCACTAAATATTAACGTAGATACTCAATACTGCATCTCACTTGCCACCTAGGTATCTAATAATGCATAAATTAATTTTCACTTGTGAATGCCGTTCGTTTATTTGCAGCTAAATTATCGTTGATATTTCAGTTCTTACGCGTACGAAGCGAGCAATCATTTCTTCATGAATCTGACTTTGGCAGTAGAAGGAGATGCCGCATACCTGCCGGCGATCGCTGTGAGCTACCGAACTTTCAGTTTTAAGCCCTAGTATTTAATTAAGATCCTGTCTAGTTTTCTGCGGAAATTTGATTCTATTTGTCTACATTAGCCCGGTAATTTTTTGCTGCCCCTGGTGCAGTTCGGTGAATTATTTTTAGTAGAATTATACATAGTATTCTATGCAGTGATAATAAGTATTCTGATATCTAGTAACGACATGACTTGATTCCCCGTTTTTGTTGATGTCTTCATCCCCCCCAGTGTTTGTTGATATCTTCATTCCCCCCAGTGTTTGTTGATATCTTCATTCCCCCCAGTGTTTGTTGATATCTTCATTCCCCCCAGTGTTTGTTGATATATTCATTTCCCCAGTGTTTGTTGATGTCTCCATTCTCCTCCCCAGTGTTTGTTGATATCTTCATTCCTCCCAGTGTTTGTTGATGTCTTCATTCCCCCCAGTGTTTGTTGATGTCTTCATTCTCCTCCCCATTGTTTGTCGATGTCTTTATTCCCCCAGTTTTTGTTGCTGTCTTCATTCCTCCAGTGTTTGTTGATGTCTTCATCCCCCCAGTGCTTGTTGATGTCTTCCTTTCCCCAGTGTTTGTTGATGTCTTCATTCCCCCAGTGTTTGTTGATATCTTCATTCCCCCCAGTGTTTGTTGATGTCTTCATTCCCCAGTGTTTGCTGATGTCTTCATTCCCCCCAGTGTTTGTTGTTGTCTTCATTCCTCCAGTGTTTGTTGATGTCTCCATTCCCCCCAGTGTTTTTTGATGTCTCCATTCCCCAGTGTTTGTTGATGTCTTCAATCCTCCAGTGTTTGTTGATGTCTCCATTCCCCAGTGTTTGTTGATGTCTTCAATCCTCCAGTGGTCTCTTATACACATCTAGATGTGTATAAGAGACAGTGCCTATGATAATAAAAATTTCATTCACTTCCTCGACATTGTGTTAATTAATTTTTTTGCTTCACTAAAAAGGGTTTAACGCGACGCTGCGGCTTGACGATGGCGTTGGAAATCCGCGTCTGATTTTCGAAGGCACGAAAGAGAGTACAAAGGAGTTTGCTGTACAAGTGAAGGCAAACAGTCAATTGTNTCTTACCTCGACTGTACAAGTCGACGTTAAATCAAAACTCGACGGGTTAGTGCTTCTCTTACCTCGACTGTACAAGTTGACGTAAAGTCAAAACTTGACGAGTGAGAGCTTCTCTTACCTCGACTGTACAAGTCGACGTTAAATCAAAACTCGACGGGTTAGTGCTTCTCTTACCTCGACTGTACAAGTTGACGTTAAGTCAAAACTTGACGAGTGAGAGCTTCTCTTACCTCGACTGTACAAGTCGTCGTTAAGTCAAAACTCGACGGGTGTGTGCAGCAGTCTCCCATAGGATGACAATTGAATCGGAGCTTCTACATATCAGAGAAACTTCTGTATGAATCTTCTACCTAACTAAGAACAGAGAGGTCGCCTGCCGAAGACCACCACTGCCCTGGATGTAATGGACCATCATGATTCCTGCCTTCCGGAACGTAGCCTTCAACACTTTTGGTTAATCATATCTAGGCCGTGCGTCGAGCCAGCCCCCGGTCGAACGGCCACTCGTCGAAGGATGATAAATTTTGGAACAGAACTATGCTATCTGAAACCTAACCTCACATGCGGTGAACGTAAAATTACATAATTTAACGATGCCCGGAAGTCATATTCGATCCGCGGCCTGGTGGTGCATGGCAGGTTTTATGCAAGGCCGGAGGAGGACAAAGCCAAGTGGTTCACGGCTGATTGGTGGTGCATTGGTGGTGCACGGCTGCGCTCCCGAACAGAGCAAATATCTTCGCCCACTTAATGTCTTCGGTAAATTAACATTAGGTTAAACCAACATAAAAGGGTAATGTATAAATGACTAGAATTGGTTAGATATACATTTTTGATTGTGTTTTCTCCTCGCCTGAGGTGTGTACACTCTTTTCATTTAGTTGTTAGTAATTTTTCTTCCTTATTCAGTTTTAATAATTAATACGTAGCTTCCGTATTAAATGTTAATTAATAATATCTTAGTTCTCGTCACCCAGACTCGTGGAACCCGCTAAATTCACCGAAAAAAAGGAGGAATCGAGGAAAAATATCAGGTACACTTTTACTCTCAAGAACGAAGATTTCTTCCCTTATGACGTCACCATCAAGCTCACCATGAACAACAACACAAGTGAGCTTGGAATTAATGGAACAATAGAGATCACGACATGTTTATAACTTATGGTAACTCGCACTTTTTTCTTTCTCTCTGACCCTGAGTAAGTGAATAATATTTCTTATATCGAGTAACAAAAATATTGTTACAATGCCAACCCTTGCTTCCTATGTTAAATAAGATTTTTTGTGCAGTATTGCATCTACAATACCACAATTTTTTGCACGATTGTAAACTCACAATTCGTGTGAAGTTACTTTCTGGAATTTTAAGCAATTTAAACGTCCATATTGAACGAAAATCTCTGGTGGGTTTGTTGACAAACATGTTGTTTTTTGATCAGTTTAAATGTTGTTGCGTCCGTCAGTTTGATGTTTAACATGTCCGCTATTTGACCTGTCCGCTGTTGACCTGTCCGCTCTTTGACCTGTCCGCTCTTTGACCTGTCCGCTGTTTGACCTGTCCGCTGTTTGACCTGTCCGCTGTTTGACCTGTCCGCTGCCATGACTAACACAAATTCATATTTAGAAAATTGTTACATATTTAAGACATATTCGTCTCAGTACAGTTAGTTAGCTGTCTCTTATACACATCTAGATGTGTATAAGAGACAGGAACAGGTCTTCTTTAATTAATCGTATGTTGCACAGGTCTTCTTTAATTAATCGTATGTTGAACAGGCCTTCTTTAATTAATCGTATGTTGCACAAGTCTTCTTTAATTAATAGTATGCTGAACAGGTCTTTGAAC